TGCTGATCCCGCAGCGTCAGCCCCATGGTGGCCGCCGCCCACAGCGTGTTGGACAGGGCCTGGGGTGTTGCCACCTGCTGCTGCTGCACCAACGCCTCCACCAGCTGCTGCGCCTGCTGATCTGGCAGCGTCAGCCCCATGGTGGCTGCCGCCCACAGCGTGTTGGACATGGCCTGGGGTGTTGCCGCCTGCCGCTGCTGCACCAAGGCTCCCACCAGCTGCTGCGCCTGCTGCTTATCAATGCTGTATCCGTGAGGTGACAGCACAGATGCTGCATATAGTGCGTTCGCAAGCCCCTGTGCGTTGGTCTCCGCTGCCGCACTGGCAAGCTGGTCCAGGCAGGCGTCAAGCAGCGGTGCCTCTGCAAACGCCGCCTTGCCGCACGCCCACACGATGTTGGAGAGCTCACGCGTCTTGCAGTAACCAAGCTGCGGCTGCAGCCGCACCCACAGCCGCTGCATGAGAGGATGGAAGCATCTGGACGGCAGCCCCTGGTCGCGGATCAGGTGCGCCGATCGCGTGAACGCCGTTGCTATGTGGATGGCGTTGAAAATGCCGCCGTGCTGCTGCTCCAGGTCAACCAGCTGCTGCAGGCTGGGGGCGCGGTTGATTATGCTAGTCAGGAGCTTGTCATCAGGGGCCTGTGTGTCCAGGGTGAATCGAGAGGCGGGGACAGATATGAGAGCCGGCCGCAGGGTTTGTTGGGGATCCGAGGGACAGGATGCGAGTGTGTGTCAAGCCGCCTCCCTGCATTAGGTTGTCTGTAGCAGTAGCTTGTCTGCTGCATTAGCTTGTCTGCAGCTCGGAATCCGCACCAGCCACGGCGGGGGCCAACCCTGGATGGCCCCACATCCCCACCTTGCCGATATTGTGAGCGCCCAAAAATGCTGCACCGGTTGCGCCTGCACCACTGCCATCATCTGAGCCAGCGCCGCGGCCAGCACTGCGGCTTGTTGATCGGACGCTGCCATGTTCGCTGCCTCTGCGCTGCTCGCCCATCCCGGTACTGTTACTGTGGCGACGGGAGCCACGGCCTCCATCATCAGGGCTGGCATAGCCCACTGATTCACTTTGACCTGTGCCGCCGCCGCCACCGCTGCTGCTGCTGGCCTGGCTGCCACCCTGGCCGGCTTGCTCTGGCAACCACCCGCCGCCGCGGCCACCACCTCAGCCCCTGGAGCCTCTGCCGCTGCGACCCCTCGCGCTGCCGCTGTCAGCGGTCCTGCTGCGGCCCTCGCTTCGGCCGCCGTCCGGTCTGCTGCCACTGCGGCTGCCTTGGTCCTGCCCTTCACCGCGGCCACCTGCTCTGCCGGCGCTGCGGCCGCCCGTGCTGCTTGCACCCCGCGTGCCTCTCCAGCTGCTGCCAGGGCCTTCGCTGCCGCTGTCTGAGAACGGCACATCGCTGATCCCACCAGCACACACGAGCCACGGCCCGCCTGCGAAGGCAGACCGCCGCGGCCGGCGGAGCTGCTGTATTGCATGAAAAGCCGGCCGCCTGCTGCCAACGCCGCAAGTTGCTTGCAGACCTGCAACCAGCGTATTGAGGCGTTTTTAAGTTTGTGATAAGAGAGCGATGACGTTGTTGACAATGATGCTGATTTGTTACGGCGTCTGGAGCCGCTAGACCCATCAAAATATGGATGCCGTGATGGCGCCACTGTCTCTGCTCCCGCCTTGAAGATGGCCAGGGCAGGAACTTGCGGAGGCACTCCACAGCACGCAGCACGGCAAGCGTCCACACCCACAGAGTCCCCGGGTGACGACCTCCCGCTGAACAGGTGCTGCAGCAGCCAGTCGCGACACGTGCAGGACGTGGGCCCCACAAGGGAACCTCAACGTGCTGCGCCCTGGCATGTGGGAGGCCCACTCGCTGGGTGAAACCCGAGGGTGAAGTGCGCCAGCCTACAGGATTCGCCGCTCAGCCCCGCCCAACAGGCCAGCCTTGCCCCAGACGCTTAGCCCCCGCATTGACGCAAGAAAAAATGCCGGCCGCCCCTGTCTTGCTGCAAACATTCCCCACAAGCAACGGCAACGCCCCACACAAGTCGCAGAGGGCCGGGGGCACCAGGTGTGCAGTTGCAGTCGACCCGGTACCATAATGCAGATGTGCGCCTTGACGCACAACAGAGACAAGCGGCGCCCGTGGACCGCTGCTCACCACAGGGGCTCAGCACACAAAAGCCATTGCAAGCTGTTGATTTTCTGAACAGCATCTTCAGGGCTGGTTCGCAGCTGCAAACGCGTGCTGAACACAAAATCTAATGACAAGATCAGCGGCAGCCTCGCTCGCAGACAACATGGGCTCCGATAATTAATATAGGACATTTTCAAACAAACGACCGCAACGTACACTCTCCTGAGCAAGCATGGCACACTCATCGCCACATTCCAGGCACGTACAGTCGTACGCAGAGCACTCGGCAGATTGCAGATTTCTCCAAGGGTTGCCCCACATGATGCCCACCTGAGTCTGTCTAGCCCCAGACGCCATTGCCACTGCCACGTTGCCAAATACATTGAGACGTGCATGGCAGAACACATGATGTTCTCAACCGATGATGCTGCAATCCAGCACCCATCGCCCCCCTGTGCGAATGGAACGCATGTGGGTGGGTAAGAGTACCCACCCACCCACCTGCCCCACAACCCATCTCAGCCAAGAACTGTGCTGCCGTTGAGTCTGCATTAGCACATGCAGAGCTTTGGAGTTTAGCATGCACTTGTTTGTTTAATGTCACATGTCATTTTCCGCGCTGGTGTTGGATCTTGCAGTACCATATGGGGAGATGAAGGCAGCAGGGTGCAGAGTGCACCGCTTCTAGCTGGATGTCATTACACAGCAGCTACGATCGAGTCTGACAAAAATATTGGCGTGGACGTGACGTGCGAAGGATGCTATCAGCGGCACAACAGGCGGGAACCGCTTGGGTGGCGTCCAGCAGGCATGGTGGCGCCACTGGAGGCAGAAGAGCAAGCGCAGGGGGCGGTTTGCTGCCGCAGCTGCATCTGCTGCTGCTGCTGCTGCTGCCGCTGCTGCCGCTGCTGCCGCTGCTGCTGCTGCTGCTACCGCTGCTGCTGCCGCTGCTGCTGCTGCTGCCGCCGCTGCTGCTGCACAGATGGGTCGAAGGGCCCCTTTGTTGGGCCGGGCCCAACCGGTCAGCAATGGCTTGACCCCCCTGCTGCCCAACGGCTCAGCCACGACCTCAGCACAATTTTTGCAATCGCCAGCACAACAATCTTGCCTTAATACCTTGCCTGCACCACATGCTGCCCTGGCCGCTCCCGGGTGTGCCCAGCGACAGCGCCTCACCACCGAGTTAGTACTACACACAAGAGGCCTTTCGCCTCCCAGCCTCCACTGCTGGTGACCTCCGGTTCAGACAATATACTACAAGTTTCTTGCAACATAGCACACCCGACCAGCGGACGGGCCCACGTCGGAGACCACTTGTTGCTGGACCAGATCTTTGGCGCCCTGTGTGCCACGCGCCGACCATCCAAGACATCAGGCTCAATCCAAGTGCTTCTTTTTGGGCCGTTTCGACAGCTGATCAACCGGTGAGGCGCGGAAGGGCTGATGCATGTCCTGCGGCCGCGCTGTGAGGGTTTACAAGGTTACATGAGCGTGCTGAGAAGCTTATCATGATATTATGAATCCAGCTGTTAAGCCATGCCGACGCAGATTACCCCCACGCGTGCCCTTCTCGGCGACCTACAAGCAGGTCACGCGCCCGACCCCCACCCCTGCCCGGGCGGCGCCTCCCGTGCCGCTCCCAAGTGTGTCCACACACCCCGCCACATCCACCCGGCAGCGGCCACGGAAAAGGGTGCCGCAGCGCGAGGGGGCGCCATGGCGGCTATGGCGGGCGGCATGGGCGGTGGCGGCGGCGACATGCATTCCTCCATGCGGCCCTACATGCGGCTGCAAAACCTCTTTGTCCGCGAGATCGACACCAGCCTGCCGCGCGACGTCGTGATTTCGGAGCTCCAGAAACACTGCGGGCCGTCCATGGGCAAGGTAGTCGTGCCCGTGTCGGACTCGACGGGCGGCATCCTGGGCATTGCTTACCTCAATTACCTCAACCAAGCTGAAGGTGAGGCGCCCGATTTTTCGCGGCGCTGGGCCGCGGCTGGCGCGTGACGCATGTCCGCATGGAAGCCCATGCAACGACCTCGCAGCCCGCATGGTCGCTCGTACGCCTTGCGCCATCGCCCTGTGGTCCCGCCCGCGACGACCCCGCGTTTGCGCCATGCAGCTGCGCGCGTGCTGGAGCGCATGCGGTTCTCCATGACCGTCTGCAACAAGCCCGTGCGGCTGACGCACGCTGTGGAGCCGCGGTGGCGCGACCACCTGTTTGGGCCCTTCGGGTTCAGGTTCCAGCTGAATATCAAGGTGGGGGCCCGATCCTGGGATCCGAGGGGCGCTGGCTGAGTGGTGTTGGCTGCATGCTGGCTGCGCTCTGCTGTTGTTTTGCGGCGTGGTCTGCTGGGGATTGCGGGGGCACGGGATACGGGCCGCGGACTGTGCCGGTGCGTGATTGCTGTGAGGCGTTGTGCGGTGCCGGGCTCAGGCGGGATGGCTGGTGGCCAGGGTTTGCCAAGCCCGAGTGGACCAAAGTAATCCGGCTCTGCTGTAGCGTTTGCCAGCAGAGCAGGATGGGGCACAGAGGCGGCATTACTTCAGTGGGCCTTGTTGGTGGTCATACCGCCGTATGCAAGAGTGGGGCATGCCTGTAGTGGGGCGCCCGGCGCTGTCAACCCACTTCTCAGCACAGCTTCCTTCGAGTGATGCGGCTCGGCTCACGCACCTGCACCCTACACGCTGCACACCCCGCCTGTGCTTGTTGCCTTTTGAAGGGCCTTTCACACGAGGTGGACGAGCCCACCCTTTTTGAGCGGTTCTCGAAGTATGGGGACGTCTACCAGGTCAGGGTGGAGGAGGACGACTACAGCCGCCGCAGCGCATCGGTGAGCCACCCCGTGCACCTTGGGCTGGCATCTGTCACTGGTCACAACCCAGGTGGTCATGCATGACGGGAGGGTCTGGATTCCTTGTTGAGGTGTTTGAGGTGGACTTGCCAGCTGCAACCGCTCTCGGCATAATGAAAGACACATGCAAGGCTGGCAGCTTTGCTTCTAGACAGTCCCAGCACTGCATGGCTTCGGCATGTGCTTTTGCAATCCAGGTTGCGTGCATGGCTGAAGGTCCCTCCCTTCAATCACCGCCGGGTGAACACCCCCCCCCCACCCACCCAAGGTCCAATTTTTGGATGAGGCTAGTGCTCAACATGCACTCCGCGCTGAAAACGGCCAGCCCATCTGCGGCCAGCGCGTGAGTGTGGAGCAGCACGTGGGCCGCGGGGGCTACGGCGGCAGCGGCGGCGGCGGTGGCGGCGGGGCCATGGCCGGCGGCAGCATGGGCAGTGGCAACATGGGCGGCGGCAGCATGGGGGGCGGCAATATGAGCGGCGGCGGCATGGGACCCGGCGGCCAAGGGTGCGCAGGGGCCCGAAGCAGGGGCTGCTTGGCGCCTGATGTGCGAATGAAACGCCACCACGCTCCGATTGCGCCAGCTGTGTGCTCCCTGGCACCTCCACTGCCCTTCATGTCTACTGCCCCGGCAACAATTTGCTCCGCAGCGGCCCACCGCTCCCGGGAACGCACGCCGACATCAACTGGAACTTTGGCAACGCGCGCCGCCCCTCGGGCAGCAGCTCAGCCAGCGGCGGCGGCCAGGCCCCGCACCCTGCGGGCGCAGGCGCGGGCGCGCCCGCACCTGTGCCCGGGATGCTGCCCGGGGTGCCCGCGGGCCCAGGCGCGCACCACGGCCCCGGTGCGGCCCGCGCGCCCTACGCGCCAGGCGCGGGCGTGCAGCCGGCGCCGCCGCGGCGGCAGTCGTCGCCGGGCCTGGCGCCGCACCTTTCGATCATGCTCGACAAGCAGAGCGAGTCCCTCGGGATCCCCGTGCCAGGATCGGGCGACAACGGTGCACAGGGCGGTGGCAACGGCGCACCCGCGGCGGCGGCCGTCAGCTACGACTCATCTGCGTCGGGCATGAGCGACCAGCAGCAGCAGCAGCAGCAGCAGCAGCAGCAGCAGCAAAAGCAGCAGCAGCGGCAGCAGCAGCACCAGAACCAGAACCAGAACCACCCCCATCACCACGCGCCGTCGCACCACCAGTCATCCTCACACGCCGCGGGGCCCCACACCACTTACGCGCCCGCAACTGCCAACGGCGGCCCAGGCACTGCCGGCACGGCGGCTTCTCAGCATGCCAATGCAGTGGCAGTGGCGGCGGCCACTGCGGCAGTGCAGCAGATGCACATGCGGACTGCGAGTGGCAGCTTTGCGCCCCCCCACGCCGTCGCGCCAGGCGTGCGGACCCTCATCAAGCAAGCCGCCAGCCGCCTGGATATGATGGCCGAGCTGCTGCGCTGCCCCATCACGCGGGTGCGCACCCTGTGTCACGCGGTCCCCCGCGCTGCAAATCTGTGATCTTGTGCCCCGGACGGCTACCAAAAACGCGCGGGGTTGAGAGGCGCCTGTCACCCTGAGGAAGCGCGAGGATTATGGACGCACGCACGAGAGCACACACACACACACACACACACACACACTTAGATACGTTTGCACACACACGCAAGCTCTCACAAACACACGAACACACGCACACACACACGCACCTGCACATGCACACGCACAACGCACGCACACACATGTACGGCATGCAACACAGGCACATGCACACACACATATGCACGCGCACACACGCATCCGCGCAAGCACCCATCTTAGACAATCACACGATCTCACAATCCCTTGGTTTGCAGGAGGTCTTCCGGGACCCCGTCGTCGCCAGCGACGGCCAGACGTACGGTGCGCACCTGAGCGCTGCGGCAGCGCGCTGCGCGGCACAACTGCAGGCTCGAAGCGTGTTTCGTAATGCCGCTGTCCTCACTGCCCGTATCGCCCTCGACCCCCCCCCCCCCATCTCCTCTTTCCTCCCACAACTGCAAACTCGTTGAACCCGCAGAGCGCGCCGCCATCACCAGCTGGATGAGCCAGAGCGAGACCAGCCCCCTGACCCACCAGCCCCTGGCTCGCGGCGTGCTGCTGCCAAACAAGCTGATCAAGTCGATGGTGGACGAGCTCGCCCCCCCTGGCATAGTGATCTGATCTCTGCCTGGCCTGTGCAGGTCGCTCCATCCTCTTATGCGCTTTGCGGGTCGGTGGCGGCGTGACTGGAGCGGCAAAGAATGATTGTTTTCGAGTGTGTTCCGCCGGCAAGACGGCGAGGGGCGGCCGCGCTGGGTGAGTGCTGCCGCAAGAACGGCCAAGGGGGGTTTTCACTGTTCGCCAACACGCGTCCAACGCCAGGCTCCAGGCCAACGTCGGCTTCGACGCCTGCCCACACGCTCCCCTTCACGCCCGCGTTTGTGTGGGTGCGCCGTCGCCTCAGAGCGCTCCTTGCTGCGCACCCGCGGGCGTCTGATAGTCTGCCACCGTCGCGACGGCCGGCCCGTCCCATTTCTTAGCACCGCTTGGTGCCATGGCGCCGGCTTGGGCCCGCGCGCAACGCCCATGCGCCCCGATCTGCAGCACTTGTCAGCACACAGCAGCGGTCGCCTGCGCAGGCCCGCGCTTTCCGCCGCTCACAGTTCCAACCCTGCCTGCGCCGCCGCGCCCCACTCCCACGTCGCGCCCGCGTGTATGCACACGCGCACAGAATGCGCGCGTGGGGGGTGCATCAAAACTCACTCAAACACGGCGTGCCTCCGCGGCACGCTCTGCACTTCATCACGCCGCACGGCTTTGAGGAAGGGGGTGGGGCGGCTCTTGCGCGTTAGCGCCCTGGTTGGGGTGCCGCGCGACCAGCCTTACTAAGTTGGCCGCACATGAGCACACACTGATTTGACCCTGGCCGCCGTGCAAGCACTTGGCGGTGGCAGCTGCCCCTTCCCCCCCCTGTCCCCCTTTCCTCCGTTGCCCCTCTTCCACTGCCTGCTGCCCATGGCACGGCGCCCTAGTGTCACCAAACCTGGCGGCCCCCTATCCCCGGCCTGCGTCTTGCGCTGCAGCGCCCGCAGCGCCTCAACCTCCCTGCCGGCTCCCAGATGCGCCTCACACAAACAGCGTGGGAGCACGGCAACAGCACCGCTCACACGCCTTGGGCCGTCCCACGTGGGCCAAGGACCAACCGAACCGCCTCCAAGCATTGGATCAGCCTGCCCAGTACCGTGACCTGCGGGACGAGCGGCAGTGTTGCTTGCCACTGGGCATGCCGGGTATTAGAGATGTGCCTGGTATGGCATCCACAGTCTTGGCGCGGCCACGTCTGGCGCTCTGCCGTTCAAACCACCAATAATAACAGTGGCCTCGTCCGCGCCACGTTGCCTTTGCCCTTGCTCCTTTCTGCGCTGTCCAACAGCAGCAGCACGTTCGCACAGCTGCAGTGACTGGTGCTAGAAAGGGATGGCATTGGCAGTTCTGTGGCACCAAAATGTGCAGTGTCTACAGGGTGGAGCACTGTGTAAGGCATACTATTATTAGCAAAGTGGTGCAGCATAATGACCTCTTTACCTGGTTTTCATGGCCTCTACACGCACAAGAACCCGCTGCTACCGTAGATCCGACCGCTCGTTGCCCGTTGCCGTCAGCAGCTTACAGACCAGTCTTGACCCTGGGGCCGCGACAATGACTGACACTGATTCACTCCATTAACCTGGTAAAGCCCAAGTGCTACCTAAGCGTGTCCTTGCACACTCCCTGAGGTCTCGGTTCGGTACTTAAAAGCAGCGAGAAGAGCATAGAACAATTCAAAGACTATGGTGGAGCGTTTGCGTAGATAGCTTGCGTAGTTCGCAGCGCGCAGACGGCGTTGGCATGGCACCAGCATGATTGCGAGCAGTGATAGCAGGGCAATGGCGCACCGGCAGACGGTGAGTTGGAGAAAGAATTCCGTGCGATTGGCATGTAGTGCTTCCGCGGGCGTGCCAGGCCAAAAGCAGGCACCTTGCCGCCTGGTGCGCGCGCTCAGTGCTGCGCTGCCGCCGCTCGCTCAGCTGTGTTGCCGCCCCCAGCAGTCAAGGCCTCAGCCATAGGTCTAGACCAAGCAGCAGCAATGCAGGACTACATTCATGACAGCCACTTTTTTTGCCAGGGAGCAATGTAAACAATGCGGGCAGCACCCCTAGGCGGCGCCGACAGCCGCTAGTTCACGATGTGTTCAATTGCAAGTGATGTTTGCGAACGTATGCGCCAGCCACGCCGCAAGATGCGAATGTCGCAACCATGCCATCCTTGGATCTCCCCACCTACCACAACTCCCCCCCTTGCAGGCCCTCCCCGGCCCGCGTGCCCAGCGCCCGCCCGCCCCCGCCGGCCGCGCCGCGACCCGCCGCCGCGCGGCCGTTCGGCGCACCGAGGCCTCCCTCTCTGCACAGCCCGCCTCGGCGGCCGGTGCGTCCGCGTCCCTGGCTGCCGCGCAATACCGGTCCCTCCAGACCAGCAGCGGCGGCCGGACGCCCCTCAAATATGCGTCTCCCTGGGGTTCAAACGAGCGCCGTGCGGCGCTTGTGGCGCGTATCAGGGACGCGGCGTCAGTGGAGTCCCTCGTCTCGGTGTGGGCGGCCAACCGGCAGCTGCTCGGGCCCGCTGAGGTGGCGGTCATGTTTCACCAGCTGGCGCGGGTGGCGGACCCGGCCAAGCTGTCCCTCAAGGGCATGGAGATGAGCAAGGTGGGGGCGGGCTTCAATGAGCGCGTGCGGAGTCGCTGATACTTCAAGTGTGTGCGTGTGTGCGTGCGTGCGTGTGTGAGTGTGTGTGCATGCGTGTGTGTGAGTGTGTGTGTGTGTGTGTGGTGCATGCATCAGTGTGCATTGCATGCGCAGAGCTTGCTTGCCTGTGAGCTTTTCGGTGCTTTTTGGGTGGTCAGGGTTTGGTGTGGGTGTGGGCGTGGATATCAAATGCGCATGCGCGCGCGCACTGCACACGCGTGCCGTGAGCGGCACATGCCGCCGATGCCGCAAGCGCCGCGTTTGCACGGGGCTCGCGGTGCACCTTTGCCACCTTTTCGCCGTCGCGCCGCCGGCCGCGCCGCCGGCCGCGCCGCCGCCCCGCCGCAGGCGCTGCTGCGAGAGCTGCTGATCCACTCTGAGGACCGCATGGCCTCAATGGCAGGCCCCGAGTTTGCCTACATCATAGCAGCCCTTGCAAAGCTCAAGAGCGGGCCGGACACCGCCTGGCTCAACAGGCGCGCAAAGGGGGGCGGGGGCGGCCGCGCACGCGGCGCTCCGGTCGGCGGACGGCGGCTGCTGGGCGGCGGCTCTTTTGCCTGTGGCTCATTTGCAGGCGGCATCAGGCCGTGCAGGCGGGCATCAGTGCGTTCGCGACACCCAGGATGCCCCCTCACGATGCAAATGCTGCACTTGGGATGCTGCGTGCGCATGCGCGCATGCCTGTGTTGTGCAAACGCAGGTGGATGGCAGTGAGCCGCGGGAAGCTGGAGGGCCTCACGGCGGAGCAGCTGGCGGTCGCGCTGCGCGCGCTGTGCCGCCTGGAGATGCGCCCCAAGTGAGGCGCCGGCCGTCGCGGTCTCGCATGAGCACCGCCGCAACACACGCGCGCCTCATTTCGCGCTGTTCTGTGGGGAAGGGATGCCTTTTCCTGCTGGGGGCGCAGCAGGGGGCGACGCGTGCCTAGGGGGCAGCCCGTCAATCCTCGTTCATAGGCCGCACAAGACAGCGTTATCGCTGCAGCCGCGCTCCCAGCGCTCTGCGACGATCCCCCCATGAAAGAAGCCATCGACGCCCCTCCATCCTGACAGGGACGTGAAGCAGTGCATCGCGTTTCCCGCTTGGATGTCCCTATACATGGCCGCCATGAGGCCGCGGCTGGCGCAGGTGGGTCCCTGCTCTTCCGAAAGGCATGCGGGTGCGAGCTCTTGCATGAAGCATGCCCGAGCGTTTGCACGTGCACGCGCTCAGGCATGCTGCTGTGCGTGGGTTAGGTGCATGCGCACGTGTTCAAGGGGAGGGGCCAAGCGCTAGTGGGTGCTGGGTCACAGATGTGGCATGTTAGAAAGCGGTCATGCTCACATCTTCCATGCACACGGGCTGCAGTCTCGTCACTCACCAGCACAGATTTCATCAGCAGCACTGACCCACTCGCACCGCTGCGATCAACCTGCCTCCTCCCTGCCAGTGCGGCGCGTACGACGCGAGCCGGCTGCTGGACTGCCTGGCAGAGCTCGGGCACAGGCCAGACCGGGAGTTCATGGCGGCTTGGTGCGCGTGCATGCAGGTGCGTGGGCTGCGGTCGCTGCATTGGTGTACCGCTCGGAGGCTGCCAGCAGCAGGCACGCTGCTGTGTGTCAAGAGGCGGCAGTTTACGCTTCGCTTCCTTGTGCATCGCGTGCCACTTTTGGGTCCCCCCCTCAACCTGTCTGTTGGCCAGCGCCCCATCGTGTGCCTGCTTTCACTCTGCACGCAACACACAAACACGCACTTTCCCCAATGCACGCATGACACACACGCACAATCTCTCCTCCTCTGCTCGCTCACACACATTGTCCCTCTTCCGAACCGCACCTCAACACCACCTCCCTTCTCGTCCGCCTCCATCCTCCCTTGCCCTATCCTGTACCTTGTAACAGCCCAAGCTGGCATCCCTGGACGCGGGCGCCCTCGCCCGTGTGATGGGCTCCATGGCCGCGATCAGGTGCGCCCGATGAAGTTGTGCTATCCTGTGCAAACCAAACACGCAATCCTGCTCCTTCGGGGTAATGCGAGCTCATGCCAAGCCGGCGCACTTGGGCACGATGGCCGCTGCTGGCACACCCCAACTCCTTCCCTTCCTCCCCATCCCCTTCAACCCCTGTCACGCCCCCATCCCCCTCCGCACATCTGCGGCCCCTGCCATCATCAACCTATGCAATCAGGTTCGAGCCGGAGCCCTCCTTCATGCGGGCCTACTGCTCTGAGGTGTACCAGAAGCTGCCCCTCTTCGACGACAGGTGGCGGGCGGCCCCCAGGGCTCGGGCTGGCAGGGAAGGGATGCAGCAGTGCGCATGGGGCGCTCACTCTGCCCCAAACCTCGATCGTGCAACGACCTCCCCAACCTTCTTCACCCCACCCCAAATCAACCTGTACACCACATGACCACACCTTGACAATCAACTACCGCTGCCATCAACTGACCCCCAATCTTCCAGGGACCTGGCCACCGCGCTGACCGCCTTCACAGCCCTCAAGCGCCTGGCCAAGCACGACTTCCTGGGGGAATTTCTGGAGGAGGTGCCTGGGGGGTTGGCCTTTTTCACATGGCGTGATGTCATTGCAGTGTTGGTGGTGTGTGGTCGGGTTTGTGTCCACGCGTGTGTGGCGGATGTCGCTTGCAGACGGGCGCACCATGTAGCGGTCGAGATTCGCATTTTGCAGTTGTTCTGGGCTCACTCCTTGGATTGTCTCATCGAGTGAAGGCCAAAAGACAGCAAATGCATTGGTAACGGCGAGCAGTCGAATGCCCACATGCATCATGCGCGTGGCCTTCCGCTCACTCGATGCACCTGAGTTCGCTAATCAGCCGCCCGAGACACACACACACACACACACACACACATACACACACACACACACGTCCGCACCCACGCACGCACACACACGCACACGTACACACACACACAGAGTTCATTGATGCTCGCGTCGGGCCACCTCTGACACCGGCCCCAACCGCCCGCAACCAACACCCTCGCTTCAGGTTGCCGGCAAGTTGCCCACCTTCGGCCCCAAGGCCCTGGGCAACGTGCTGTGGGCGCTGGGCACGCTGCGTTACGCGCCGCCCGCCCACTGGCTGGACCGGGTCGCGGCGCACCTGGAGTCTGAGCTCTGGCGGTTCCAGGGCCGCGCCCTGGCGGCGAGCCTCTGGGGCCTGGCGCGCTGCGGGTACCGGCCGACTGAGGAGTGGGTGATCTCCGCCCTCGACGCGTCCATGAGCAAGCTGCGCTCGCTGGACGCGGGCGGCTGCGTGATGGCGGCGCAGGCGCTGGCGGCGTTCGGGTTCCGGCCGGCGGCCGGGTCCGCGGCGTTCGCCAAGTGGGCGCGGTGGTGGGAGGCGTTTGGCTTTGCGGCGGAGGCGCGGAGGTTCCGCCCGGCAGAGGTGGGGCGCGTCGGCGGGTGGGACTGGTGTTGTGATGGGATGTACGCTGCTCTGTGTGTGCTCTGGGCGCCTGTGCGGCATCATGCGGCGGAATTGTGACCCACAACAGTCGCTGCTCGTGGTTTCGGGCGTTTGTGACACATGGGAGGTGTCGTGGGCACGCCATGAATCGTGTATGCTGTGAGCGGAATGCCACGCGGCGTCACTTGTTTCAATCCCACAGCATGCTCCCCACAAACTGCTGACGTCACTTTTGGGCGCCCCACATGCACACCTACAATCCCGCCTCCACTTCATCAACGCCACCTCGACCCCCCTCTCTGCTGACGCACCTGCATCGCTACCCCCCACCATGCTGCTTATCTCCCTGCCCCTGCACCCCAGGTGTGTGACTTCCTGGTAGCTGCCACGTCCCTGGGGATGCCCCTGGACTCGCAGGTGTGCGCTGGCGGGGCTGGGTGGCGTGGCAGCCGCAGCCAGGATCCGGCAACTCTGCTTCATCCACCTTCGGCGGCGAGTCACGAACACCCCCCTCTTCACGCTCCCTCCAACCCGCTCCATTCACCCCCGCTCCCAGCAACCTCACCCCTTTCACCCCAACCCTCCCTCCACCCCAGACCTTCGCTCATGCATCACACCCCCCCACCCGACTTGCCCCTCCACCACGCCCCTGCACCCCACGCACCCTTCACCACGC